GGTTTAACTATTATAGCACAAGGGTACCAAAAAAAGCCTCAAGCTGAAGCATGCATGTACACAAACTACACAGGACATCAAACCACAAGAGCTAGACAGATGCTTTCATCTCCCTAATTACATATATATGCTGCATTCATATATAAACTAACAATCATGCTTTAGATGAACTAACTATGCAGTACAACTAATATAATGTTTTCTGGTTGGGTTTATCCGTAAGTGTGCCACCTCAAGATGTTGCTGCTTGGTAAAAGTTAATGACCACCCCTCTCACCCTCTGGTTTCAGAAGCTGGAAGGATCACCTGATGAATGGTGGAGTATTGTGGCATATGTTGGTAACGGCATAGCTGTTGTTGAGGTTGTTTCTGATTATTAAGCTTATTTCCCTTTGGCCCAAAGCACCCATCCACCACCGTTATGTCTAGACCGACCATAGCAAGATCCACCTTAGTTTTTGATGCCATCAAGAAGAAGAAAAGTGTATTAGAAGTTACACAGGAAGGTTCTAGTACTAAATTTGTTGCTTGGTCTAGGCTGCATGAAGTTTGAGATCAGACTCCTTTATAGACTAGAGCATGATTTCAATTTCTCCTTTTTTATTTAGGAATTTTCTTTAGGAGAAAGTTTTAAAGAATCTAATGATTTAATGCCCACTAAAAAGGGCTTTGAATCTATTCCGTTCAGATAAGTATATAGAATCCCTTCATAGGAAAGGTCCCAAGTTTATGCATATCATGCAACGAACGATTACATATTCTGTAAACAAAAATGAATTCCATTTTAAAAGATTCAAGGGATCAAGCTTCAGCTTCAACCAGTAACCAATTCTGTTCTAACTCAATTCACCCAACCTCCCAAAATTACCTGATTAAAGCTTCTGCTCATGCTCCATCCAGATCCAATCCCGACTTTTTTCCCCAAAAAATCCTTTTATAGAATTGCATATAATCTCTCCTAGATATGAAAGTAAAGAGAGGCATTAATCGCTTCAGCACTATAAGTGATCATGAATTAGCTTGTTTTCTTGTATTTTGCACTGATTTCATATCTGCTCATTTGGTTGCTAGGGTGTTTTCCTCACAAGATTGCATTGGTTACCACAAGCTGGTCAGCACCTTCTACTACTATATACACACACATACACACACGTATGTGTGTGTGTGTGTATATATATATATATATATATTTCCTTGGGATTTCTCAAATACCTGGATCAATGTATTGTTTTGTGTTGATTCCTATTCCTACAATATCTTATGTCGTGATCACATGTTTTTTCATGTAATGTTTTGTTCTAGGATATTTGATCTCATTTCTTTCATCTAATTAATTTGATTTCTTTTGGAACATCTAGGCAGCAGACATATAGTGTTCTAAAGAGACAGTAGATATCCCATTCATGTATATGTCTTTAAGATTCTTCTGCTTTAACAGAGATTTGATTTGATACCTTCGCAAAAGCCATAAATAAAAGTAAAAGATTCATAAGCATAATATTAGATAGGGAGGCCAGGGCACCATGATATGCTTCCTTACCAGTTCTTGTCTAATAATTGAGAATCAGAATAATCGTCTATACATGAAAGATCAATATAGAATAGAATTTTTCACCCAATTGGTATATATCATCAGAGATTCTGAAACCAATTGTTGTGGCTTCAAGACTCATTATTACATAACCAGGTATCTGGGCTCACCCCGCCCGGTTTCAAGTTTCAACCACTTGTTCTCCCTCAATATATGCATTTTGACTTCTATCGTATATAACGAAACATATTCCTTACGTGTTGATTCATGGGTATCAAACATACTGTGTGTCTGAGAACACTACAAGAAAAGAATTTTTAGCTACGATCTGTATTATCAAGACACTTGTACTAAGCAGATAGGGAGAGGAAGAGACAATGAAGATTTATAAGAAGTCGAGTAGAACATTTAGTAACTAATTAAGCTTAATTACATTAGTAAATTGACTATAACCACCACATGAACTACTTCAATTCATACAGCCATCACAAAAACTAGATAACAAAAAGACATATTAGTTGACTCCTATATATATATATATATATGTGAGTATACATATATATATATATATCTCTGTATCTATTTTTTATAAAATGGAACATTGATTTATGGATCAAACCTAGCTAGCTTCCTACCACCAGAGAACTTGTTGGCATGCTGCTGGCCTTGTAACAATCTGTAGTAGAATTGGGTGCCACCATAAGAACAATAGGCTGTTGAGGTACATACTGATAGTGGCAAGATTGTTGCAGCATCGGAGAAGATGGTCTTCCTTTTTTACCTAATAATCGTTCATTTGCTGTGGTTAAAGCTTCCATACCAACCTTAACAAGAGGTGCCTGAGGTGCCATTTCTAGTGCAACAAGTAGAATTAATAGAATACCAGCTACTAAGAGAAGTGAATTTGAGTGTTGGGTGCAAGAAACTGTTGAGAACCAGAGCATTTATATATAAGGAGGAAAAGGGTAATTAGAACAGTAAATGATTCAACTTTTCAAGTGGTGACGATTCCTTTTAGATAAGTCTGTGGGATGGATGAACGTGGAGTATATTTGCATAGTGAGTTGAATGGAGATCATAAGAATACACCTCTACTCAGATAAATTAATTCATCAGTTTTCTTTAATTTGAAGGCGTTGTTGGACAGTAAATGATTCAACTTTTCAAATTGGAAAGACTCGTGTCAAGATGCTCCAAGAATTAACTGACTGGTTGCATCGTATGCATGTCTTTAACCACATTCGAACATGAAGGAAAGGTAGTCTCCTTGTATGGTTACAACACATTCGAGAGGTTTTTAATGATTGTTATATATGATTTTAAGTTACAATAATCAATTTTGTAGTGTTTGACGAACCCAATTCTTATACTGATTTTTTTAGGATGATTGTAAAACTGGCTACTTTTTCATAACCAAAATTATGATTTAATGTTGCAGCTAATTGGATTTTTAAACGTAGCAATAATCACTTTGGAAACATAAGATTAAATACACTCTTGTCTGTGCCTAATTGAAGAGATGGCAAAAAAAAAAAAAAAAAACGGTGTCTGGTGGGCCGGTCTCGACTAAAAATCCTAGGATCGATATAGGCTCAATTATCTGTCCTGGTCTCAATTCTGGTTTCGGGCCCGACTCTTTTTTCTTTAATTATACAAAAATGTTATATATGTTTTTATAATTACGGATTTTGAAATCTAGTATTGAAATACACTTTAAATAATACATTTACGTAAATAAAAAGTTGAATTTTTTCCAAAAGAAATGAAGAACTTTGAAAAGAAACTTGAAAATCTTAAAGAAAACCTTGTTTTATAATTCATAAAAACTTCAATCTTTTTCTAAAAATCGGTGTCCTAGATCGACTAGACCTTGAAATTCCAAAAAAGTTGTAATTGGTCATAGAGATAGCCAAATGGGTCCGACCTGGCCCGAGACCGGTTTAGGTCTGCCAGTTAAGGACTGGTTACGGTTTTCGTCAAAAGACAAGGCCCAAACTGGACCAGTTTAGGACTGCTTACGGTCCGACCTCGGACCGACCTATTTTCAAAAAAATAGTCATTTTTATAGCCGTTGCCCAACGCGTTCTTTTTTCTTCCATTTATGACCATTTTTGTCTCATTTACCCTATATACATTATATATAAGTCATGATATATAGAAGAATATACCAACAAATGGAAGAAACATTCACAATTTTCGTTATAATTCGAGTATTTTATCGAAAACAAGTTACAAAATCATAATAGAACGTATTTTTTAAATGTATTTAATTGATCCAATTACTTATTTTCAAATGTATCGGAATAGCATTTTTGTATTTTAAAAAAATCAAAAAAGAATTTATGTAAAAGATCGAATTAAAAAAAATACATAAGACTTGCTTGGGCCCGACCGGATCCAAGATTGACTATCATAACCAGTTATAAAATACCTTAATTGGGCCACCTTTTTTTACCAGACTAGTTACAAGAATAGTGTTTGAAACCGAGACCGATTATTGACCATCTATAACTGGTCCTAGTTTCCTAGACCTAGATCGTCGGATCATATCCGGTCCACTCCACGCCGGGCTAGTCTGAATTTGACCCTCTCTATATTTGGCTATTCAACATTAGGCTTAAACCCATTTCAATCAGTTTGGATTTTAAATGGGCCTAGTATCATATATATATCCAAATCAACCGAAAGAAAACAAACCGACTTGATTAAACCCGCGTTTTATTATTCAAAATTGGATTAAGTGCATACAACATCTAGGCATGTACGAACCGAACATTCAGCAAATCGTTTATGAATGTTTGAGGGGAAGTTCGTTTATTTAATAAATGAACGAACATAAACAAATTTATTTTGTTTGTTTAGTTAAACGAACGAACATGAACAAATGTCTCGTTCGTTTATTTATGTTCGTGAATATTCGTTCATTTATTTTCATTTACATTCATTTGATATATAAATGTATTTATATAAACTTTTATTACATATTAGGAAATTTTAAATCTTGAAACTTGGCCCATAAAGAGTTAAAAGACATTTTTGGGCTAATCCAACATGGGCCTTTATTTAAACTTATGGGTCGTTTATCTAAATGCTTACCCGATAGGCCGGTAAGCACTTACTATTAGATATCAACACTCTAATTTATTTTACTCGGTAATATTATAGTACATTAAAATGGTAGAGTATGCAACAATTCACCCGATAAACACTTACTCGGATAAAAATTATCACCCTTACTTATCGAGGAAGACTCTTCATCTTTATCATTGCTGAATAGTTCTCTTCACTTACCGGTTAAGGGTCCTTATCAGGTAAAGGTGATAAAACGGCACCTAAATGTTTATCTTCCAAATGTAGAAACAAAGAAAGAAGTCTTTCTCTCCCTAAGATTTATGTTTGAACACTATTTATGCTACTTGAACTAGAAGCATCCATCCAAAAGGATAAAAGACAAAAGGGAGTTTGCTATATTGATGTGAAAAGCATTTGACATATATGCAATTTATCCGCTTTGATAGTCCCGAGGCAAAGGACAGTCGCTGAATTGCCGTCTCCCAGTATCTTTCAGAGAAAAGTTGGGTTTGTTTCATCGGAGCAAAACCCCAAATGGCTCGGTATACAGGTGAGCTTGTGGGAAAAGTGAATTCAGCACATCAATTTGACAACGAGGCCTTGTTTCGTTATTGTTCTATTCATGTCGAAGGCTTCCCTCGTTCTTCATCCAAATTTTCCGTTTCTCAGGTAAATATTTCTGCTTTTGACTAGAAATCGGAAACCCTGATGATCGCCGCTACTCTTTGGGGTTTATACTTCAATTCAATCTCCTCCTATTCAGTTTATCCTATTGCCGTGATCATGTCACAAATACGTAACCTGTTGGTTCAGGATATTTAATTGATTATTCTATTGAAAATTAATAGAATTTGCTCGTGTAATGTCTCTTTACTTACTTTATGCGTTTTTAGTTAGGATCAATGATGATTAGTAAAGTTGATCTCTTATGAACTTAAGTAAATGCATATGCATAACTTTGAAAAGGGTATATGTTCCACCAGAAGTTGAAAAATGGGAACTGGTTATTATATCTGTTACTCTGTTAGTATCACGGCTACATGAGAATAACCGAACAAGGCATGAAATGTATGCAACTATGTTAGTTTGGTTTGATTTTGATTTACTTATCCAACTTAGCCTGTATTTAAACATCCAACTCCAGTAATGGTTTCAGCCGTAACACATTTATCTCAGTCTCAATTGCAGTATACGAGATCAATTTCTGAATCTGTATAGAACATTTGTAGTGGTTACAGATTACATATACACCACAACTGCTTGCTTTACATATTAAAATCAATAGATGGTTGAGGTACTCGATGCAAAAAAGTGGATTTACCAACAGTCTATAGACTATAACTGATTGATGTTTGATAATGGACTCCTCAACAATTCAATCTATGTACTTTAAATAACTAATGCTATATATTAGGCTGCTGGAGTTTCTTTATCTACTGGTATTGAATTTAGTTATCAAAGGATTGCTGTGAGGGTGGAATACGGCTTCTTTTAGAAATCCCTTGATATTGTCAGGTGCATAATCCATCATCTTATAGAAGTAATGCTAGATCAGGCACTTGTAGAAGTGGGGAGATAATAGCATTAGAAGCATGTATGTATTTCTAGATTTGCATAAGTTACTTTTTGTTTCCAAATCTCTTTCCTTTAAATTAAATTTGAAATTCATTCTCCTAGTGTTTCTTATCTACTGCTTATTGTTCATCAGTTTGGGTATGGGCAATCAAATCCCACATATCTTATAGAAATGCAGTCAGGCACTGTGGTGAAGAGGTATGTAATGAGAAAGAAGCCCTCTGGGATTCTGCTCCAATCTGCTCATGCCGTTGAGAGAGAATTTCAGGTAAGTTTTGTGTATATATGTTGTGTGTGCATGCACTTAGACAATATACATCTAGACTATCATAGTTGCTAAGCAATGGAGTTGCAAAAATTAAAATTTAGTGGGAAAAGTTACATCGGAAATTGTGAGAATTGAGATGGTGATGTTAAATTCATCTTCATTGATGATGATAAAAAAAGCATGATAGTGGAAGTAGTTTAAAATACATGTGACTAGTTCCTAAAAGAATTGACCCTCACAAGATGTGATTGTAAATAAAGACTCATGTCAATTAGCCAAGTAGTATACATGTTGGAGGAAGGGGATTCTTCATTATTCATTACACTAGAAGTCTTTCATTTCATCCGCCAGTATGTGATATCTGTCACATTTTCTGTTCTATTTTTTATTGTGGCAGGTGCTTCATGCATTGGGTACTCATACGCTTGTTCCTGTCCCCAGAGTCTTCTGTTTATGTACCGACTCAAGTGTAATTGGAACTCCATTCTACGTTATGGAATTTTTGGAGGGGCGCATATTCTTAGACCCTATGCTACCTGTATGAAGCGTAACCTCTGATTCATCTTCAAATCTCTAATTGAATTGTTCATAATAGTATCCATTCGTTTTATGTTAGGGTGTGGCACCTAATAGGAGGCAAGCTTTATACCATGCAACTGCTAAAGCTTTGGCTTCTCTTCATTCTGCTGATGTTGATGCAATTGGTCTGGGAGGCTATGGGCGACGGAACAACTACTGTAAACGCCAGGTATATGGCTAAAGAGGTTATGTGGAGTGTTGTGATTTTAGCTTAACAATGTCAGAATGGTTGCTTGTACTCGAGCAATATGTTACAAGCTCCACCACCACATCTCCAACGATGTAATTTCCTGAACTCCCCCAAATCATTACAAATATGAACAGCAATGGCGAATTCTTCTTGACAGATGTTTTATAATGGCCACACGGCACTAATTTGATGTTTCTAATATCAAACATATACCACCTTTAAGATAAATATGCTAAAAGAATATCAGAGGATTTCTTACAGTTACATTGCCATTCTGAGTTTGCTAAACCATTTTTTCTGTAAATAAACAATTGGATCCCATACCTCAGTATACACCAAGGGATTATAATGTTTCATGAAAACATTGGTCTCTTAGTTTGTGTAGTTGTATGAACCTCATGTCTTCTTGTCTTATTTATGATCATTTATGCTGCTTTAAGGTATTGAATGCCAGTGAAATATTGATAAGCTATACATCAGGTGGAAAGGTGGGCGAGACAATATATTGATTCTACTGGTGAAGGAAAATCCGAGAGAAACCCAAAAATGTTAAAGCTGATTGCTTGGTTGCGTCAGAATATTCCTTCAGAAGATTCTGCTGGAAGTTCAGCAGGGCTAGTCCATGGTGATTTTCGGATTGATAATCTAGTTTTCCATCCTATTGAGGTGAAGTCCTTTGAAGCTTGTGATCATCATTCATTCATTTTGTATTTAACTTTTTTTGTGTGCTCATCTGGAGACTTGTCAAGTTCGGACGCATATCTTTTGTTACTACTTTAATAATATTTAGAGTATTGGAATGCAGGATAGAGTGATTGGCATTCTTGATTGGGAGTTGTCCACTCTTGGAAATCAGATGTGTGATGTTGCATACAACTGTCTGGTAATCTAGTCATTTGTCAAAGCTTGTGAGAGATACATATCAACTTTGAAATGGGTCCATTGATGAGTCCCATTTTGTAGGTTGATTTCTTTCTCATTAGGCTTTTTATTTATATGAAGATTTCATGCGTAGCAGACATTTGTAGTTAAAAGTAAATTACCCTTTTATCTTCTCTTCTGGCAGTTGTACATTGGAGATATCTCACAGGATAAAGTGAAACATAATGAAGGTTTTGAAATTACTGATGCTCCTGAAGGAGTTCCTTCATTGGAAGAATATCTGATGGACTACTGCACTGCTGCTGTAAGATCATTGCTGTAATGTTAAATTGTTAATTACGAAGTCTGATGCACATTATCATCATACTAGTCCCTGCTATTTATACATTTAATGTTTATCTTAAGATTTTAGAGGGTGTTCCATAAATTTATTATGCGTAAGATGAAATGCCAAATCTAGGTAGCAGCTTAGTGCATGATAGCATGCTATCATATAAAGTGCACTCAAGTTGGCATGACTATAGTAAACCCTTTTCGATCTCTGAAACATCAAAATCATTAAGATTCAGCATCTGAGAATCTTCTGAGAATCTCCAAATTATTAATATCTTCATCATTATCATCAATAATTTTGTCACTTTCTGTTTCCTTGATTTTTGTTCATTTGGCGGGTGAGGTTGGGAAGTGGTTCATGCATATATAATATGTATGAATGGTCCCTTCAACACTTTTTATATGGTTAGTTATCATGAAATACGCTATAATGATCTTCTCTTCGGCATCTTGTTGGTGGTTCTTGATCATCATAGAGTTGCACCCTCCTAACAGAGAACTATTAGTGACTGTAGGTCAATTAATTTGTCATATTATTATGGTTTGCTTGTGTTGATAAGTTAACCATTACATCTTTGCATTCTAGGGAAGACCATGGCCTGTTGCTGGATGGAAGTTTTATGTTGCCTTTTCGCTTTTCCGTGGTGCATCAATCTTAGCAGGTGTCCACAGTAGATATATTATGGTATGGCTGTCCATTACCATAGAAGGAGTACAATGCTAGAGTTCTAATTCTATATGAACTACTTGAATGACTCAAGGACTCATACTTCACTCTTAAATTTCAGGGTAATGCATCAGGTGGAAAGCGTGCTCAAGATGCTGGGGAAAAAGCCAATGATCTTATACAAATTGCTTGGTCTTATATTCAAAGGGAAACTGTTCTATCACAAAATCCTCCATCTGGTAACTCTATTTTTTTTATATGAACATAGGAGTTGGATTTTCTCGAACAGTCTAGGTCCAAAAATTGGAGGGAAGGTGCTAAGTCCAAATTATTTGAATTAAAACAAAAGGTAGAAAAAAAAAATCCAATATAAGGCTCAAAACAGAAAGTTTATCTTTCTTGTGTGAGTAAAACATAATAAGGTCTATTTGGTAGATGGAGTAAGGTTTAGTGACCTTCTTTTCTTGAAATATAGGTATTAGTCTGAGCCAAATTTCGGCAATGTCTGTGGGCCCAAATATATATAATTCCTCAATGTAGTATATGGTAACAGACTCGATATGTAGTCTTGTTTGATGATAAAAAGAAAATTAAATATTTGGTAATATAAGGTGATAATTCTTATATATGACTATATGTATGAACATTGATCTAAATAAAAATGTACAAGTAAACTGGAAAGTACTCTCAGTTATCAAATGCTCACAGCTCATTTAGGTATTGACATTCTGGTTACGCTCCACACAGATGATGTTCGTACTACTCTCTTATAATTGCTAAATCCAATATCAAAGTTCCCCTTGATTTGATTATAAGGCACATCTTAATGGACCTCTATTCTTTCTAACTTTACAGATATAAGAGGAAAAGATCATGTATATGGTATTGCAAATGAAAAGAAAGATCAAGGGTTGGAAGAGGGAGGGAGATTTATTCCTAACAAAAAAGTAAAGGAGCTGAGAGAAAAACTAATCAAGTTCATTGAGGAACGTATATATCCAATGGAGCCTGAGTTCAGCAAGCTTGCTCAGTCTTCCATGCGTTGGACGGTTCACCCAGAAGAGGAAAAGTTGAAGGAGATCGCAAAGCAAGAAGGCCTATGGAACCTTTTTATACCTGTAATGCTTCTTTTCTTGCTATATATGTGTAGGTCGTGTGTATGAATTTCTTTTCTTCATGTTCTGAATTAGAAGTGGCTACAGTTCTCTGTCAGGTAGTAATCAGTAAAGGGTTATATTTTATTTGGGGCATATTATATTTAATTTAATGTTTTATAACTTGATACACAGTTTGATAGTGCCGCAAGGGCAAGAGAAATTCTTTTCAATGGGAGAGATGATAATGTCATTGGAACGGGTTTTCCTAACCAATTGGGCGCTGGACTCTCAAATCTTGAGTATGGATACCTTTGTGAGATCATGGGTCGTTCTGTGTGGGCTCCACAAGTTTTCAACTGTGGGGCACCTGATACCGGAAATATGGAGGTAAGAAGTCTAAACTTCATAAAAGAATGTATTCCCAAACAACAATTTATCATAACAATGAAACTGAAGAAAAAAATCTTATGCTAGTCACATCTTTTTATTTATGCCCAGATCATTAAATTTACAATAAATTATCATAGTCAATACGCTTGTTTCTTTCCTCACTTTCATTTTGTGGGTCCAGTTTTCATGATAAGAAGTTGACATAGATGGGCCGAATGGACCATTAAATTCTAGAAGTTTCTTTTGCAACGTGCAGTACAATTAACGATTTTGTATAATCTTTTCATTTTAGGTATTGTTGCGCTATGGCAACAAAGAACAACTTCAAGAATGGCTTATTCCATTGCTTAGTGGAACAATCCGGTCTGGATTTGCAATGACAGAACCTCAAGTTGCATCTTCTGATGCGACGAATATAGAGTGTTCTATAAGAAGGTATTTTATCCAGTACCAATGAGATATTGAAGTGATAATATCATGAGAAGTTTGTCGTCTAATACATTGTTCTCTACAATGACAGTTTGGTGATTTAATCCCAAACTCCATCCAAAACCCCAAAACATCAATGCAGCGTATCACTAAAGCACAATAACTAAATAATACTTTGTACGAGGTTTAATGCCTCTGTGTCCCCAATGTTTAATGTTGATGTTTCTATGTAAGACCGTAGTGACTTCATAAGGAAGATACGTTAGTTGGTCTCTCATTATTAATAAAAAGATTACTATTGGAATTTGGCTCTCAGAATTTTTCAACAGAGGTCTTAGGAGCTCGTCTGGCAAATGGTAAGGCTTGCTAATCTTCTATTTTGCTATCCTTCCTCTATCCTTCCTCCCGTCTGTAACTAAAAAGAATCACATAATTAGAAGGAAAAAAATTGATAGTAACCATTCGAAACTGGGCATGTAGTTTTAGGACAGACCCCCTACATATAGATTACATAACGAGTCTCTTAACATGAAATAACAACAGAATTTGTTTTTGAACATAATGCTACTTTAGCAAATGCTAGTGATATTAACCATACATCTAACCTTCCTCAACACCCCACAAGTTGGTGCATAGATGTCAATCATACCCAATATGCAGCAGAAGTTCAGTTTGTAGAGGCTTCATAAGAAGTTGTCTGCTAGTTAATGGTCATTTCAAATGTGAATGTGAACAATCAACGAAGGAATAGTCAATGTTAGGCAGTGGGGTTTTATGGGAGGCTAATGTTCATGTAATCATAGCTTAGCGCTGGCTTTCATACCACATAATTTAGGGGTTTAGTGATGACTTTTGATGCATAATTGTCGAGGGGAGGACCCCAATAGGCCTTGCTTTAGGAAATAAAGACAAGAAAACAGACAAGTAGAAGATAACCACACTTCACAGAAAACTAATAATACTAACAGTTCATCAATCACAGGTAATAACAATCTTTAGCTCATATGCATTATAAACTGTAAATACAGAGCATTTGTTTAGAAATTCTCTCCTATGTGTTATAACGGAGTTAAACAACATCAACAGAGAAGGTGATACATATGTTATAAATGGAAAGAAGTGGTGGACAAGTGGAGCCATGGATCCTAGATGCAAACTCCTTATACTTATGGTTAGTTCCATATACTCTTCTCTCTCTTCCAAGAAAAGAGATGAAATTCGACTTTCTGAGGTCAAATATTTTGTACCATCCAAGTTCAAAATTATTGTGGTTTTATGTTAGAAATTTAATACAATTATTTATTCTATTCCGATCATCAAATTTGTTTCTTGAAAATCTGATGAATTTATGCAAGTTTTGAAACAGAAACTCCATTCATTTTACCTCATAAGTTCCGATTTATAGTATTCATTTTACCTTTTCTAGAAATCAGTTTCAAAATTTATTACGCCTAGCATCAAGGAGTTGACACATTTGATCACATGATAATGCAGGGGAAAACGGACTTAAATGTGCCAATTCATAAGCAGCAATCCATGATTCTCATAGATATCAATACTCCTGGTGTGAAAATACTAAGACCTCTCACGGTATTTGGCTTTGAGGATGCACCTCATGGACATGCAGAGATTTCATTTGAGAATGTCCGTGTTCCAGCTAAGAATATCCTGTTGGGGGAGGGCCGTGGCTTTGAGATTGCACAGGTAAACCAAAACCCTTTAAGCATGTACTCCCATGCTCAAGTATTCCAACTAGCATCCTTAGCTTCCCAGTTAAAGATCTACCTACTTGTATCACACTACTTTAATCTGTATTTACTATCTCTCATACCCATCCAATTGAACCTGGGCATCAATATGGCACATTACTAATGGTGCCTTTGGTACACTGCACAAATCAGAATAGGGATCACTGTTCCATGTTTGGCATGACTTTTATGTGAAACATACATGAACAGAGTGGAACAAAGTGTTCCACCCCTGCCCATGGAACAAGGTGGAACATGTCTATGTTTCACCAATATAACCTCAAAATAAAACCTAATTCTCTTCTATAATATCAAATATGCCTTCCTCTTTACATTTTATTCATTCTTTAAATTTTATTTATTTTATTTTATGTTTCTAAAACTTTCACTATACTGTACTCGAAATATTATCTTTATATGGTTTCTATATTCTGGTTAATTTATGTAATTTATTAAATATTAATAATAAAAAGATAATATAGAAAAGGTATAAAATAAAAATTGGAAACTACATAAACTTCTTATTTTGGTGTCATTTTAATCATCTTGACGAAATCTTTGTAATGATATATTTTGTTATAAAAATATTTATTTTATTAAAATTTAATAAATTAGGTAACTTAATCAAAATATATTAAATATATAAACAACTCATGTGGGGCAGATTGGTCATTTTAGTTTTTGTCATAATTTTGTCTTACCAAACTTTAAACAGTTTTTCTGTCCTATTCTTTATTGTTCTGTTCGGATACCAAACTCACCCTAATGGAACGACTATCTGGTTCTTGCTCACTTTTAGCTATATTCATGTTGGATTCACAAGTGACGAGGCCTGCAAAAGGCTTCCTTTTTTCGAGAGAAAGCATTTACAAATACACAGAAGGGGAAAAAATATGTGCACCCCAATGTCAATGTTTGAGTCTAGAAACCACAACTACTTAGTTTAGGAGATTTGATAGATACCAATTGGGCTGTGCGAAAATCCCTCCTTGTTTCTTCCATGGGGAACATTATGTGAGACTACAGAGGCAAAGTTATCAGCTCTTGCCGATACCATCATTGTTGTTGTCTTGGTTCTTTTTTTTCCTTCAGATTGAAGGCGTTCTGCAAAACCAATATATTAACTGTTGATCAAGTGAATTTGTTTTGTATTTGCAGGGTAGGTTGGGTCCAGGGAGGTTGCATCACTGCATGAGATTAATAGGTGCAGCAGAACGTGGGATGCAGTTGATGGTTCAGAGGGCTCTTCAAAGAAGAACATTTGGAAAATTAATAGCTCAGCATGGCTCCTTTGTTTCTGATGTGGCCAAGGTATTTATGGAAATACGGCTTTTATTTTGATGTAGTTTTCTAATCCTCTTATAACTTATTTTTTCAAAAACATCCCTATATTTCTTCATAAACTCTCGGATATATAGAAACTGCAGCTCCTACATGAGAAGTGACTTCAACTTAAGTATATGTTGGTGGCCTGTGATTGAATTTTTTAACTAGTTCTTGGTTTTCATGTACAAGAAAGAATCTTGAGAAACCCATAAAGATACTCGATCTTTAATTGTTCACTTTTAAAGTCAAGTATAAATGATTATTCCTCTTGGTTCATTTTTGCTTCCAAGCGGTTTTACAAGTTAAAGATCTTGTAATGCAGTGTCGGATAGAGCTAGAGAGAACCAGACTATTGGTTTTTGAAGCTGCAGATCAACTTGATAAGCATGGAAACAAGAAAGCTCGTGGTGCCCTTGCGATGGCCAAGGTAACCTTTCTTCCTTGAGCATTTGGTAATATAGGAAATGACACATTATAAGTATATTAATTAATAAAATCATTTTTTTCAATTAATGTAATTTAAATAAAGTATGAAGGTTACCCTTTTATCTATTTTGCCTTGCAAATAAGTAATAACAACATATTTACAACTCAATATCACATGGTAGTACGGTATAACTTAACATATCAATTGAATAATGTTTGCAAGTATATAAATTGAAAGTAGTTTTCTGAACACCAACTGAGTAGCCCAAAACAAATATTTACTTTTTGTATGAAGTGCTCAAGTTTCTCTTTGCAACAATGGCATACAAGTTTTGTGGTTATTATAGTAGACCATTCATAAGGACCACTGAAAATGAAAATTTTAGCAACAGATTATCAAGTTTTGTGTATGATATATATGGAACAGGTTGCAACTCCAAATATGGCATTGATGGTGCTTGACACGGCAATGCAAGTGCACGGTGCGGCGGGCGTATCGGGAGACACTGTTTTGTCCCATCTTTGGGCTACGGCTAGGACTCTCAGAATCGCAGATGGTCCAGACGAAGTTCATTTGGGGACCATTGCCAAATTAGAGTTGAAGAGAGCTAAGCTTTGAAGATTTCATAATGTGTGATGAAGTAGAACATATAAGAAAGATCAACGAACCAAGATAATGAGGTAAATGATTATTACAATGCCACATAGGGGTTATTTGACGGATTATGAATAAGTTGATGAAGAACGTTTAAGGGGTGTTCTTTTGGTTTTTCAATTGAGCCCGATATATGTTATTAAGGTGACTATAAGGTTTAAGATGTTGATGTTGGTATAGGTTAAGATATATTGTTGTTTGTTTTGTGTCTTCGATAAACGGTTTGAATGATATAAATGACTATTTAATTTGTTTATCTGCAAAATTAACGTCTTTATATGATAGAAAACTATCAATGCATCATGATTGTATTTTTCATATGCTAAACCAACCTTAAATCAACTTTGTTAAATTTATCAACATATGTATATGTAGCAACCGTTTGGGTGAAAAATCCATAACAGTGACCGACTAGGATAAAATTCGCAACAATTATATTCCTTGAATAACTATGTCATCTGATTATCCAACTGTCAATAGTCAAAAACATGATTCCTAAATCATGTTAATTACTAAAAGTAGAACAATCCAACGTTAATTCTGACCTCTTAATTAATTAATTAATGTCCAAAACAACCAACGATCCATTCATTGATTCTGAACCTCAGATTACCATAACTGAATGTTTAACAAGATTCAATCATATAAATAATACATATTTTTGTGTTATACGATCGAACCCAAAACCCAATGGGGTTCCCAGGAGCTCTACCTCTCCTGATTCCATAGATTTTCTTAACTTATATGATCTTTTAGGTAAATAGGAAAGTAGGTAGAGGACGTAAACAAGATCGAAAATGGATGACGGAAAAAGGAAGTTCACCATGATCGGAATGGCCATCGTCTTTTTAACGGCGGCGGTGATTGCTGCAGTTATTGGTCTTCAGAAATACTATGGTTCCGACGATGATTCCCACGAATCGATTTCGTCAACCAACAAGGCGGTAGACTCACTTTGCCAACATACCGATTACAAGAGATCATGTCACAAGAGTCTTGCCCATGCAAATAACACAGACGACCCTAAGGAGCTCGTGAAGGTGGCTTTTAATTCTGCAATAACAGAAGTTCAGTCCGCCATTGATGGATCATCAACCCTTAAAGAAGTGGCTGAAGATCCTAGAGCTTCTAAAGCATTGGATCTATGTAAAGAACTTCTCAACACCTCCATTGATGACCTTAAACGATCCTTCAAAAAGCTCGAGAATTTCGATCTTGCAAGAATGGAGGAATATGTTGGCGATCTTAAATCGTGGCTCACTGGTTCACTGACGTATCAAGAGACTTGCCGCGAAGGGTTCAAGAACACGACCGATGAAACAGGTCAGAAGATGAAGAAGTTGTTGAAATTGGGTGGCCGGCTCACCAGCAATGTGCTCGCAATGGTGAATAGCATCATTGAGACCCTTGGGGAGGTTCAGTTCACCGGGGTTAGCCGTAGGCTCTTGGACAAGGGTCTGAACGATGAGCATGGTTGGTGGGTCAGCAGTGAGAGGCGGTTGTTGCTTGCTGCTGATCCAAAAACGTTAAGGCCTAATGCGGTTGTGGCTCAGGATGGTTCAGGAACCTTTAAGACCATCATGGATGCGGTTAGGGCCGCGCCCAAAAAAGGCACCCGACCCTTTGTTATACTCATCAAACAAGGTATTTACAAGGAGCATGTCGACATTCCTAGGCGTGTTAACAATGTCGTCTTAATCGGCGAAGGTCCAACCATAACCAGAATCACCGGAAACAAGAACTATGTTGATGGAGTTGCGACTTATAGGACCGCTACCGTTGGTAAGTTAATTTCTTGTGTATGTTACAATGTCTGTTTGAGAAAAAAATTAATAGGGTTTTTTGTGTTCTCTTTTCAAAACCATTTTTGAAAAGAGAAGTCCAAAAAACCAGGTCCACTCGGTCAAATTGTTCAAACCAATGAACAATTCAACCGAATGTACTGAGCTAGGGTTATTTAACTTTCTAGGGTTTTAACGTTTTTTCCGTCTACTGAAATAGCGGTGAGCGGAGATGGCTTCATGGCAAAGGACATAGGGTTCGAGAACACAGCGGGACCACAAAAGCATCAGGCGGTCGCGTTACGTGTCTCGAGCGACTTAGCCATCTTGCACAACTGTGCCATGGAAGGATACCAAGACACCCTCTACGCCCATTCATATCGCCAGTTTTACCGGCAATGCAAAATCACAGGAACCATCGACTTCATCTTTGGAAACGGAGCAGCCGTCTTCCAAGACTGCAAGATGATCGTCAGGAAACCCCTTGCCAACCAAGCGTGCATGGTGACAGCCCAGGGGCGGAAGGACCACAACTCAAAAGGTGCACTGATCCTCCAGGGCTGCAACATCACAGCCGATAAAGAATACATGGCCACCAAGCCAATGCCAAGTTCTTACCTTGGTCGGCCATGGAAAGCGTATTCCCAAACCATCATCATGCAGTCGTTCATCGACCGCAACATTGCACCGGAAGGGTGGGCCCCGTGGGTCGGGACGTTTGGGCTCGACACGTGTTATTACAGCGAGTTCAATAATAGAGGACCAGGGGCTGACACAAGGAGAAGAGTGACATGGAAGGGCATCAAGATGATGAGTCTAAAAGAAGCTGATAGTTATACTCCTGCAAAATACATACAAGGAGATATATGGATAAAAGGAACTGGTGTGCCTTATGATCCTGGCATGATGAGTCTCTAATTTTGTAAATATGTACAAAAGAGATGATAGTTAGTTTTCGAAGTTATTAATATATAATATAGGAGCGTTTTAACTTATTATTTTTATTAATTTCTATTTATAACAAATTAAATAGATAAAATTAGCAAAAAATAAACACACGTAATGAGACCATATGTGATGGATTATAGTATCATATCAAAAATATATTACAAAAATACACACATACACGAAGCTTTATAAGAAAGTGAGTCAAGAAAATAGTACTCGTGATGAGATGGAGGATAACCAATAAAAATGCAAGAAAATTTATCTTGAAAATTACCAATGAAAATTTTATTTAAGTATTTAATGCATCAAGTATATTAATAATATAACTACCGTTAAAATCATATAAAAAACCCCAGTCAAATTGAATGTATATATACGTTTTTTAGATTTTGAGTTCAAATCAGTGAGAATCATTGGAGAAACTCGAATAGGTGTAAAATCTTTGTAAAAGAAAAAGAAAAAGAAAAAAAAAAACATTTAATTAAACTTGTAAATTCAATAACAACTATAATTCAATTCAGTGGACCATATTTAAATGACAACCCAATAGAAAATGCATATTGGGCCTTTTGTACAACCCAGCCCAGGTGATCCGGCCCATTTTTATCGAATTTCATTTCCCTGAGAAGTGAGAATGCAGCACCAAAGCGGGAAACCAAAAGATTTTGAATCCTTTGTTCTCTCTTCTTCCTCCATACGCACACAAACAGTTGTCGTCTTCTTCCTCCCTTTCATCTTGTTCATGTGGGTTTCGCTTGCTGAAATCACTCTCTTTCGCTACAGGTTTATTTACCAATTTCAAAAATTGAAGAGCTAGGGTTTGCAAAGCATGGGCATGGACTGTTGGATTAGGAGAAAATGAACTCGAACGATAAAGTAGCCAGTACTTCTGACGCCGGTGGCAGTAAGTTTCATACGGTACAGCCCCTTCGTGACTTGGAATCAAATTGGGAAGTCGATCTTGCAAATAATCTTGAAGAGTATTTACTTAAGATCTGCTCCGGTGAGATTATTGGTGGTGAAGATGATGGTCAACTATCAGTGAATTTTGCTGAAGGTTTGTAACCCTAAAAGTTATTGTATTTAATCTTGTCTTGGGGCATTTTGACACTTATTCGTTTGTCGGAACTGTAGCTGCTTTGCTGCTCCAAGGTTCAATTCAGGTGTACAGCCGGAAGGTCGAATATCTTTATTCTTTGGTTTTACATGCTTTAAAGTTCATCTCTCAACAGAGGTAACTTTATTTTCCAACTATCTTGTTTTCTTGTAAAGTAGGTTTGAATTTTGAGACCATTGCTTTTTACTCTGTTGCTGCGTAGTTGTGCACAGGACATGTAAGTGCACACAAATATGATTCAACATTGCGGCTTTGTGTTTATCTGTGAGATCCCATTGTTTTTTATTGAAATTATATTGAAACAGGTCTTATATGACAAGAAGGGGCTTGGGCATATATTAAATTGGACAATCCCCATATTCTCTTGCCAGTTGTTAAATCCTAAAGGGGTTTTCTTAAGGCTTCATAATAAAGTTTGTTTATCATTTGCTTAAAGCCTAAAGGGGTTTTCTTTAAGGCTTCTTAATAAAGTTTGTTTATCATTTGCTTATCTAAATGTTCAATCATATTGCTTAAAAATACTGATTTCACATTAATCGTGTACCATTTGAAATGTTTTGCCACACAGACCTTTTATGCATATTGATGTATTGTAGAAAATTTATTGGGTGTGGTTATGTTGAAAGTTAGTTATGTTGTTGCCTTTTCTGTTCATATTAAGCTGGATATTTAAAGGCACTTTAAAACATAAGAAGGTGTTTTGATATTCATTTATTGAGGTTCAACTTCTTTTTAAACAAGATGAGCCTTAGTCTTTAACAAAATATTAATTAGACAGTGGTGGGAGAGTCCTTGGTTATGTATAGGGTTTACGGGGCCTTTGAAAACTTTACAGCATCTTAAATGTTCCCCCTACTAACCTCTTAAAAGGTGGAGTATATTTCTACTAAAATCATGTATCTGATTTATGAGGCAACCTATTGGTCAAAACTAAGAGGATACACTTCTAGGTTTATTATTTCTCTAAAACCACATTGGTTTTTCTCCTTTCTACTATCCCACTCTAACTTGTTATTCCAACATGCTTCTTCTGTTCTTTCTATGTTTTATCTTTGGTGTGTAAGACCAATGTTCTCATTGGTCCAATACCTTAGCAGGTGATGGATTATGTTTCTTTTACAATAATGTTAGAACCTCTGGAGTCTCCATGCTTTTTAGGTGAGGAGCGGCTAAGATTTTGTGAAGTTCTCTCTTTAGTATGCTTTGAACATTACACATTCATGGGTTTTCATGAGTCTTATTGTTGAAAGTATAGCACAGCTAAGATCTGGGCCCGAGTTTGAAAATAATAAATTGTTGAAAGTATTAATCTAGTCGCTTAACCCACATCGTAGCTGCCTAGTGTGCTTAATCCCAATTTGGCAGATTTAATCATGCACATCATTTGATACTGCCTACAGAAAAAATTATGGTGGTACTGATCATAGCTCAATTCATGGTCGGTCTTTCTTTCTTTCTCTACTAATATCACCCTGTGATCTTAGTTGATTAAAGCCTTTAAATGTCAACTAAATATGACGTATAAAATATATTTCTGCTTCGTAAGGTGTAACTCAACTTGGTCTTCAACGATGTTTATATGTTTATAAAAAGGTCGAAGTCTGGGAAACGTAGCCTTCGATTCATTAGGTAGGGCGATCTTTTTAACATATTAGCTTGCAAGTGGTATCTATTTCATGCTAGTTGTGCTCTAAAAAGAGTTAAGAGGAGCAACACGATCAAGTGACTGATGCTAAATCGCCTAACCAGGGATTAAATTGCCTTATGTGGCTAATTTTAGAACACTGCAAACTATCGTATATTCATGTGTGCATCTTTTCTCATCAAATCTGTACCCTCCTAGAATATATCAAGACTATGATGCCAAAAAGCCATTTCGAAATGTACTAAAATTTACAGAACAAAATTCTACATATAGAACAGTGTAAGATTATACAATCTATGCATTTAACCACTTTTATTTGTATGCAAATGAATAACCACAGATTCTCATTGATTTTTAGTAGAAAGCATGAAAAAATGGAACACCAGAAATCATATTCGACGTCTCCCACACAAGTACTTAAAGATCTTTTACATGTGCATGCAAAGTTATGAGGCAGTTAGTCATTCTTTATCAGTCCATCAAGATCATTATGATCAGTGCTTTTAAAAACGAAGAGAAATGAGCGAAGGTGGGTTCAATTGCTAGTGATTGTTTAGTGGAAAAGTTAATATGTTCATGAAAGTAGAATGATCATACTCTAGTGGTTAGGAAAAATGGCATTTAAATCATTGAATCAAGTCCAATGTGATGGTTTCTATTTGAAATAAACATATACTGAAAAAATTAAAAGCGAAAAGATAAAAAAAGGGTACAAATGACTAACGAGATTAGTTCAAAGTGAAAATTAGTTAAAAACTTAAAAGGAATAATGAACTCTGCAATGCAAATTTCAATTTCTGTCCAACAAAACCACAATAGAGAATGATAGGTTAGTGAATATCTTGAGACTTGAGCATAATCCATGTGATTTGAATTCTGTCTTAACACCTTAACCATTGACTGTGTCATGAACTCTTGAACAAAGAATAGATAATCTGCATATATCAAATAAGCACATACTATAGAATCTGTTTATAATCAAGACCTGGGGATGCATGTATATCATACTTGATTTTTGAGGATTGATACTTAAACGACTTAACATTCACATCTGTCTGTAACCTCCTTGTTGACTCGCTTGGTTATTATCTATTTCTCTCGACATACATAAACGATTAAATACACTCAACCGTTACATCAACAAATGATAGAGCATTTAAAGACTTTATAACACATAACATACACATAGCACAAGTTATACTAACATGTACAAAGAGGCTAGCACATATTTGAAAACTTGAAATACTAACGATGCTCCATGCCTTTTCATCTTGATCCCATCATGATTAATGAACATGGTGCTTTAAGATTATGTTAAATATTACTCCATTGTCATACTTGGATTTTGAATGCAAAAAAACAAGAATCGATTTCAAGATTGGTATAAAATGTAATTAATTTGCAGAAAAAAATAAATAGCTACATCAAAATATTTTATAAATAGAAGGAACTTAGTCATAAAAGTGCTAACAGATATATAATAATTATAGATCTAGAAGTACTATCACATAAATAACTACTCTACTATTTGGAGTAGAGGTCATGTCTTATGCTGTTAATATCGCGATATATCGTCGATATATCGGATATCGCTCCTAGAGAAAATATCGGTCCATAAATATCGTCCCCGATATTATCGGCGATATTTTCCGATTTTTCCCGATTTTTAGCGATATTTTGATGCAAATATCGGACCGATATATCGATTTTTTAGGGTTTAAATATTTGGGTTTTGTTACTTTATGGGCCTAGTTTTTTGGGCTTGGTAACTTAAATTAGGTCTGAAATTGATCTGCCTCCACAACGGTCTTCTTCTTTCTTTTATATTAGCTTGTTTTTGAACACTTTAGATGATGTGATGTTTTAATTTTGAAACTATATTTCTAAACTCTAATTAATGCATATTATATATATAATTCTAAGAAATATTATGTTAACCGCTATTTTGAATCGATATATCACCAATTTAACCGATATATCGAATATCGGTGCTGACCGATATTTCGTATTTTGACCGATATAACAGCATAGCGTACATCCCACCCCTATACCCCACCTCTGGGTGGGACATATTGGGCTTGTTTGGTTTATCTAGAAGTTCTTGTTTGATATTGAATATTAAAAGGTGAGAACTAATACAGAGGGTACAGTGTTGGCTAATTTTCACTTGCTTCTAGTTCTTAGGATGTACATGTGAGATTTTGTTATGAATGACCCCTTCAATGTTTATAACTATATGCATAAAACAAGTGTAAGCTAGCATGCACTGTTCATACATGACATGTTTTTCAACACATAATTAAGTAGTCACTTCCTAATTAGTTATATGAAATGTCATCAGTCAGAAACATGATCAACCAGAGAATTCATCAAGCCAAGAAGAACAAAATGGTTCGGTTGCTGCTCCTGCTGAATCAGATGATTCCTTTTGGTGCTCAGATGATATCCCAGGTAGCCTGAAACCTTCTCTGTTATTTGACAGTTGATTACAGAATAGCCGCTGCTAACTGCTTCTTGTTACCAGTCGATGCCAAGAACTCCTTGGATAGTTCCCATGAAAGTGATACTCTACTAAACTGCTTTGTGAAGCCTCCTGCAAATTTGGTTGTGCTTGAGGGTGATTGCTTAGATGCTAGTGGAGACAGTGGCGAGTTAGACTCCTATCTGGTATGTAAAGCTATATAGCGAATATGTATTGAATTGACCTCATCCCTCAATCTTTACAAATTTCTATCTATGGTTGCAGTTGGCTACAAATGATCTCTACAGGGATTTTATCCTCTTAGATGCGTCTGATGCAGTGGCAGTTAATGAATATTTGGGTGGCAGTGAAACAGTTAGCCAAACTAAAAATGATTTTAAAGGAGGAAGTTCTCTTGCCTCTAAATCTCGCAAGTCATTTATCTCACCTTCAAAACGTTCTGGGCATAAGCTATCTGCTGGGAAGAGCAATGTTCCTGATCAAAATCAATCGGCATGTGCTGATCAGGACTTTAAAACTAATGACCATAATATACAATCAGAAGCTCCTGAGTGTAATGTTAACATGGACAATGAATGCGACATGGATGATGGGTTTTCGCAACCAGGGGAGTTTGATGATTCAGATGAAGACGATGATGATCCATGGAAACCTTTAAATCCTCATGAACAGGGAAATTTGAAAATAAAACCTTTTAAAAAAGGTTTGCTTAAATCCTGATTCTCTCTCCCGATATCCTATTAGCTTGGTTACTTTCTACTTACTTCGTTTACTTTAATCAGTTAAAGCTTACAAAAGGGATTGGCCAAATCCGGCTACCAAAGTCTCTATTACAGAAGAGTTTCCACTTGCAAAATTGCATGGTCCTATTAGTGCAGAGCTATACGAAATATGGGAGGCAAGGCGCAACGTCTATGGAAAAGATAAGGAACCACAATCTCCTCCATATTATGAAAAGGTGGTTCTTTTGATGTTAAATTATTTGCTTCAGTTTGTTGGCTTTTATGTAACTGTGAGGCTTATTTTGTAGCTTCGACAATCACTTGTTCTAGGAGATCATGGAAATACCGGTCCATTCAATGGTAATCAAGAGGATGAAGATGGAGGGTATGATTTTGTGGCTGATGATTTTGATATGCCAAAGGATGCTTACATGGATGAAGATCATTTCAACCATGAAAAGGTTAGCTCGTTTTAATACCATACGATCTTGCAACTGATACGGCTGGTGGGAAGTTTCTTTGACACCTAGTGTTTATAATCAATCATGCAGCATATCGATGATACCACTAAGTTTGACAGCAAGGAACCATTTGAGTACGAAGACCCTGATGCTCATGTGAACCTTGAAGACCTGTGCCGTTCTCATCTGGTGAGGCTATGGGTGAAAATTCTTTTCTTTGCATTATATTAAATCTAGAAGTACATTAGTTTACCTAATCTTAAGCACACACCATATAATTCGATTATAAATATTTCTTGAATTTTTCCAAAATTCAGGATTCTCTGCTTGCTGCTACTATTGCGGAGACAGAGAAGCAGAATGCAATTGCAGCTAGGGTGTCAAACTGGAAACAGAGAATTGAGCAAAACTTAGATGAGCAAGTGCGTCAATTATTAACTGTTCTTTTTATTATCATTATTATTGTATTTCATAATTTGGTAACTTCAAAGGTTTTCCCTTTGTTTACTGTTTAAAGTCAACGAGTTTATTGTGGCAGGATGCACGACCACCATTTGATATTCATAAATATGGTCGACGAACTTTGGACAAGCTCTCACGAGAGGCAGATATCGGGAATTCCATACCATTCACTGATATTGTCAGCGGTCAAGAGAAACATGACATTGCTCGGACATTCTCTGCACTTCTGCAATTGGTAAATAAATCATCTTGTAAATAAAATGCAAATTTGTGCATACTTTTTGAACTTTGGATTGTATCAGGTGAATAATGGAGATGTTGAACTGGATAAGGGTGGTTGTGAGGGTGAATTTCTATGTTACACGGGTGAGAAACCGTTCCATGTTCGGCTCGTAAGCAATGCCACAAGACCAGAAATACAACTTAGATCCTCTAGCAAGAGACCAAAGTCTCAAATGAAGAGAGGAAAAGAGAACCAGGGTGCAGCCGTGGGTTCATCTGTAAAGGTAGGAAAAGTTATTGGAATTTGGTGCACCCCCGAAGGAAAGAAGAGACGACGGTCAAGAGTGGTTGACCCGGATGGCTTGAAATCGGAGTGTAGGTAAGTCTGTAGCGATTCTGTAATATTTTGTACTGACAGTTAGCGTGTAACAAACACTTTAGATTTGGTCAAAGGGTATTCTTTTTCCTTGTTAACGAATTTTAACTTATTGACACTTTGATCCTGTGGAATGGATTGGATTCTTAAAAGGGTTTCATATATTGTCATAAAGATGCATATGTTCCATTACAACTTTGAACCTGGCGATTAAATTTGCTTATAATCATTTCTGAGTTTCACAATTTGTAAGATTTGTAATTTTCTTTTTAATCTATTAATTTAAGATAATTACTGCATTCTTTAGAAAGAAAAAAAATTCAAATTTCATAAATATATATATCTTTCTTTCCTCTCTTTTGTAAGATACACACGAAAACACATTCATAATTAAACATGTATACAAGAAGGATACAATGCATATAATGTTAAGAAATTTTGAACTGAGATGTTCATAAGTGATAAGTTTAGATTTAATTTTGTTGTTTTAATTGGTATTTATAATATGTTGACAAACTATACAAGAATTATTATAGTTTTTTTGAGAAAATGTTCATAATGTAATCTTGTCTACAAATTTAATTGTATTTTATGATGAGACGAAAGAAGAGAGAGAGAGAGTGTTTTTAAGATTAAATCATATTTTATTAAAAATGGCACCCAATTACAATAATATATAATATATTTATTAGCCAGACTAATTATTTCACATTATTAATATATTCAATAATAAATTTGCTCTAACAATCATGCTAAGTTAAAATAGAGAATAAAAAAGAAGAATGAGAAAATGAAAAATCTCCAAATTCGGATAGAAAAATAGAATATATGATAAAGATTTTTTTTTTTGAAGTATATAATATCTATATATGTCAAATAGAACAAATAAACTCATACACACACTATGAGCCAAAAACTCACATATCGCTAAGGAAAAGGCTTTTTGGTACATGTTATAATTTAGGTTTGGAGGTCCTTTAGATTGCTTTTGAACTTAATTATCAACACTTATCAGTTTTCACTTTGTACTTTATGAAATATGGAGACTGAAACTTTATATTACCACTTTTAACTTTCCACACATGATATGATAGATACAAGGGAACCCATATTATATTTTGCAGTTTAATACATTTACAGTTTAATTTATATAAAATGATGGAGATGTGGGCTGGCTGAATACATGTATTCTTAGACAGCCATTGCCCTTTAGGCTTTATTTAGGTAAGAGTCCAAATACCCGTGAAAAGAGCTTGTAATAAGTCCAACCAACGTGAAACGGCATTTAATTAATTAAATTCACGCCCCCCCAAATACGCATCCCTACAATTAACACTTCCCTCATCCCAACGCCCCATCTCATCTTCCATTCACTCACTTATTTTTTTAATCAACCAAATTCATAAATATATATTCAATAATTAACGAATTTTTCAAACATACCTTTATCAAATGTACTTATATCTTTCTTACTCGTATCAATATCAAGATCTAATTTTTACAAATCTATTGTACAATGAAAAACTAAAATAGTAATATAGATATTTATTTTAAAATGAAGTATTAAATATTAAAATTTTAATTATTTATTTTTAAAATATAAACAGGAGTGTGTGGACATACAAATAGAATAACTGATATCTTGTTGATTCATTCGTCCACGATTCCCCTCCCTTGAAACTGATTGTGAAATCATGACCAACAAATCCCCCATTTTTCCCATTCACGAGCCTCACCACTTCAGTGACTACGGTTTCGACCCTCAAATCCACTACTTTCAGGTTCCCTTCATTCATTACTCTTTTCAACCATCCCAATTTCAATCCTTCTTAACATTCTCTCTTCAATTCGCAGGTTTTAGAAGAAGCCAGGAACCACAAACGTGAATCTTCTTCATCATGGTCATCCAGATCCGCCATTGACAACCTACATTTCAAGCTTCAAAAACCCAATTCCAAAGACGACACCAGCAAGAAGATAAAGAAGACCCGTAAACGTTGGTGGTGGAAAAACGCCCTTCTCTTCTTTAAGCGGAAACGCACGCCCTCCGACGACGACGATTACCCTCCGTCCTACAACTGCGTCTACGGCGGCGCCGGAGTCCGTGCGTTGTCTGGACCGGTGTACTTGGCCGAAAGCAGAAGCGGCTCTTCCACTCCTTATCACCGTACCTCCACCAGCCGACCCTCGTCCGGACCACTAGCCGGAACATTCAATATCCCTTACATTAGCCTCACCGAACTCAACATGGACCCGACCCGAAAGATCTCTGCATCACCCATGCCCATTTACTTGGTTACTTGACTTGAATTCAAGCATTTACTACTTATTAATGTATGAAAAGAAATGATTCAAGTAGAGATTGGTCGAAAAATCTGTCTCCTTTTGTGGGTTGTTGATTCATCATATCTTTCTTGCAGAGATTCACTTTCTTGAAACCACGATTTGACCAAGTCAAATTGACCCATTTCTGGTTTGGATATAATTTCTTGGGACAAGTGATGGATTGTATCCGTTGGTTGAGCATTTAGGGTTTGTCGATATATGAATGTGTTATCAATTTTGATGGAATTGTGACATTTCTATATCATAATCATACCGTTACAAAACATTTTTCAAAACAAATGGCCATTCATAGAGAAAGAACCATGTTGTGGGGTCTTCCATATTTTTTTGGATCGAAAACAACGTTGTCTTATTCGATAAATATTATTGATACTGTTCTTTTATGGTGTTACAGTGCTAAAATCAAGAAACCTCTAGATTGTCATCAAAAGAAGCTTATGTATGTTTGATAGATTGTACTTGACGTATGAGAGTTAGGCAGACAAATGAAATATATGTAAACAGTTTTAGGGTCTCAATTTGACATGTATATTTTAGTAATTTACCACTTGATTTTTGTTCCACATATTTTAGTAGTACAAAAAAAAAAGGCATTCTGGTTTTAATCAACATTGTCTGGTCCTAGTCTAATGTCATGACAAACGTAAAATAACAAAATGTTATTTTATCATTATCTTGTCTGGTTTTTTATACCGAGTGCACCTTCATTGATGTGACATATGCATGAGCCTCAACAACGAATGTTACAAAACCCTTTTTGTGTGTTTTTGATAGAAAACATAATCACATGACGAACTAAAATTTACTAAAAATACTTAAAATTTGCACGATATGCAACAGCTTTATTCGGCACAAGTACGATCCATGGCTCCACCATCAATGACCCAATCTCCTTTAGTTAAAGAGCGTTGTAACACATTAAATACTTATCATGTGTTTGTACTGCATTCATATAAAAATAAATAATTATTCTATTTTAAAGTATATTGCTATTTAATACGTACTATATATTTATATAATAATTACCTGTGATATTTCATCTTAAACCATCTCCAATAGTTACATTATTTTAAACTTTTTGAAGATATAGAAAAAGTTTGCTTCAAAAGCTTATCAACCATGTTAAACTTTTCCATAAAATAAATAAATAGATAAAAAAATATTCAAATTAAAAAAGAGACAGAAAAAATATAAGATATATATATATATATATATAGAGAGAGAGAGAGAGAGAGAGAGAGAAACTTGAGATTATATGAGACAAAATTGTTTTCGTGAAACACGATTTTTACACTTGAAACTTCAAAGCAAAATGTTGAAGGTAAGTCGTAACCTTTATAGTATTTTTGCTGTGAAGATTCGTTTTTTTTACATTCACAATATTTTATCACTCCTCTATATATATATACAGAGAGAGAGAGAGATGAGCGATCAAATGAAAACCACTCCAATTTGTAAAAACCGTAAAAACTACTCTCATCCATTATTAATCTTATGAATTTTTTTCATGAAATTGTTAATCTTGTGAAATTGTTTCATATAATACATTTTTTGATGAAGTTGTTTCATATGTGGTTATGAAATTGTTTCATATACTACTTAATAAATTTTAATGAAACTGTTTCATGTATTTCTCTAAAATTAAAATAATGAAGATGATAATATCCATGATTAACACCCTCCACAATAAAAATGGTTAATCAATCTCTCATAATTACAAAAAAATGAACAAAATGAAAAAATATGATTGGTTGAATGAGGTTTTCATGGTTTTTACAAATTGAGTGATTTTTATTTGAACCCACCCCTAGAACAATTTGTTTCTTTTGTCTTTGTTCTAAAATTTTTGTTATTAAAATTTGTTTATCACGTTTTAGTTCTTTTAAATATTTATAATCATTATCTATTTCTATCCAACATTCGTCTATTATACTTTTGTTTATTTTATTTTGTCTATTACAACGAATTTGAATCTTATTACTCATATTAACAAATTGATAATTTATTTCTCCAATATTTAATTTGTTTTATATTAGTTCGTATACATATATTTAACATAGCTATACGTTGTTTAATTAATTTTATTTGTAATTCAAGTTGTTCTAATTCTTTGAGTAAAGGAGTGGAAAGAAAATAGGGATCATAATTATTATAAATTTGACTTTCTTGTAATTGAAGGTTTTTTAATTCGGATTCGAAAAAGCTTATTTCACTATTTCTTTCTTCCATATACTTCCAATTTTGATTAATCATTCCTTTATAGAATCTATTATTTGAATTGACTTTAACTTGAATTTTGTTACTCATGATTGATCTTTGAAATTATTTAATTCAGATATAACATCTGATCTGGTTGGACTATATTCTCCTGAATCATTTTCTTGATAAATAGGTTTTGGAATATTTGTATTAAAATCTACATATCTTAAAGATTTAGATTTTGGAATTAGAGGTGTTTTCATATCAACATTACTGGTTGACCCAGTAGAAAATCTAGAAGGAGCAAATGGAAAAGATCCAAAATTTATATCTACTGAACCGTCATCATGTTCTATGATTCTTGATGGTTGTTTTGAATTATCTAATTGTTTAGGTGGATTTATATCTTGAAGATTCCARTTRCAAGATTGAGTAATTTCATTCCATTTTAAACGCTTTGGAATTTGAACTTTAGTGTGTAGGGGATTTGATTCAAATATTATTGTTTCATCTCTTGGACTAGATAATTTAGTTTTTGGTTCAATT